GGTGGGTGGGTGGGTGGGTGAGTGGGTGCGTCCCCGTCGCTCCCATCCACATTCTCGACGTGCCGCACCCTGCCCAGCCCGGGAGAGCGGCCGGGGAGGGAGCGGGAGCAGCCTGGACAGGAGCCCTGCCTGTCCCGAGGCCTCGGCCGGGCACAAGGGAACGGGGCTGGCAGGGGACGAGGGACAGCAGGGGACGGGGCTGGTGACCCCAAAGTTGGCATCAGCAGCCCCAAAAATGACCGGTGGGATTTGACCCCGCTGGCTGCTCCGGGCCTGCCCGCTGCCTCCATGCCAGCCCAGTTTTGGGGGGGTAGGTCTGGCACTGGGGGAGTTTTGGGAAGCAAATGCCTGGTGGGGCTGAGCCGGTGCAGGGTTGTGGGGCAGGGATGTGGGGACTCGCCGGGGGGAGTCTCCGCTCCAGGCACCCCTCGGCTCGCCCCACTCAGAGGGTCTGTGCCGGGGAGAGCTCCCAGCTCCAGACTGGGGACACGCTGGTGTGCCCCCTCAGCCCCAACCCTGTCCCTGGAGTCGGATCCGTGTGCTGGCTGGGAGGCGTTCACCGGCAGCCCCAGCTCAAGGAGCACCGGACCTGGGGCAGCCCCAGGGGCACGTGGCCGACGGGCTTTGCCGGACACCTCGGCGGCTGCCTGCAGGCAGACGGGGCGATCTGTGGTGGTGCTACCCACCAGAGTCAGCCAGGCAGGATGGATCATTGACTGCCCTTCCCGGTGCCCGGCCAGGGACCCGGAGGAGCAGACAGGGCCGAAGCCCACGGGACGGAGCCGGGATCCCACCAGGATCTGGCCCTGCCACCGCTCGCCCGTCCCACCTGCCCTTCGCCCTGGGAAAGCTCTCGGCATCTTCTGCCCGCGCCGCGGGGCAGGTGGAAGGCAGACCTTGAGCTTTGGCCGCCTGCCGCAACAGCGCGGTTTCCTCCCGGGGGGACGGGGGGGACCCTCCGCTGCACAGCCGAGGCCACCACGGTGGGGTGCGAGCTGAACCCCAAATTCGGAGAGCTTCTTCCTCCCTGGCTTTGCTTGTGGGGGGGGTTCTCCCTGGCTCAGCGGCCCTGGAACAGGCAGAGGAGGTGGCTGCCAGCCTGGCCCCCCGGCCATGAGGCTGTGCAGGCAGCTGCCGGCACCGGGGGCTGTCACTCAGCCGCGGCACGGCCGGCAGCCCCCTCCAGCCGGGGACCGGGACGCCAAACCCCTGCCCTGGGCAGAGGGCAGGGCACGGCTGCCTGACCCCCGTGTGCCTCGGTGTCCCCCCGCCCGGTGCCCGGGGAGGGGACGGTG